AGCCTCGTACGCCGAACCTGCAACCAATTTCAAAGGAGCAGCCATCCAATGCACTGCTGGAGCAAGGTGCTGGATCCAACCGCCAAGACATCCAATCAACTGATGGTGGTGGCCGCGGTGTGGACAATGCGCTAGCTCCCACCCAACACTGAACACCGTCCGGACAGCCTCGTACGCCGAACCTGCAACCAGCTTGACGGGATCTGGCAGCCAGGGCAAAGGATTTACAAGGTGATAGACCCAGTGGGCAAGACATCGAATCAAATCATGATGGTGGCCACGGTGATGGCAATGCATCAGCTCAAATCCAACGCTGAACACTGTCCGGACAGCCTCGTAATGCGAAGTTGCAACCAGCCTCACGGGCGAAGGCATGAGGTCCAGAATTCCTCCACCTGTTACCACCCGCAGATTGTGCGGTAACCATACGTGTCTGTGGCCGAAATTGAAATTGAACAAGTCGACCTTCTGCCCCATCAACGAGAGTCTGCAATGCACGTGGCCGAAATAAACGCCGAGGCCATTGTTGTCTGGGTTCCGACAAACGAATCAAGAAAGCAACCTAAACTTTATAATATAACTTGAAACAGACATAGTCGAAGGCTATTTTGTCATGCTAGAGGCTAAGAGAGGTTTGGCGAATGTCAGTAATCAGCAATTTCCTTTGCCGGATTTACGTCCAAAAACTGGTGCCCGGCCTACAAAGCAAACTCTGCTGACCTTTCTTCGGGATGCCAACTCTTACAGTGTAAGGTTTGGGCTTGCTGGCTGTCTTGAATGCGGGGACCCGTTTCTCGCGCTGTCTCAACTACCCAATTAATATCAGAACACCTTTTGCAAGCATTGCTAGCAATCAGAAGCAGGGCGCCGATGCTAATCCAGGGCATGTTTGCGGTAGGGCACGATGCACTCCAGTCTGTGAAGCCTCTTGTGAGGATATCCATGGCCTTTCCCACGGTGTCGATTGTTGTCCGAGCGACGAAGTCAATCTCGGCGCGACGGACTTGCTAGGTTTGGAGGATTGGCGATGCTCTGGTTTTATTCTGGACGTGTCTCTAGCCCTGTGGTGTTTTTGCCTCCTGCATTACTAAACCCGTCGGTGTGCACAAGTTGCATTAGTGTCTTGAGCCCTGCACCAATCTTTGGTCTTCTTCTGGTGTTTGGGGCCTTGACTTAGGATTGGCTGTAGCCGTCGCCTTACCCTGCCTACATGCTTGCTTTGAGGCTTGGTCCCCGCAGACTGTTGCATTATTGCTGTCAGTCAGAAGCGATGCTCTCGCTCGGGGTACTGCGCTTGTTTGTTTTGGAGCAGGGTCTCAGAGGTGTGGATGGTTGAGACATGTGACGTGTTCAACTCACCTGACTCTTGTGCCGTCCTCACGGACGCATAAAGAGGATCGTCACGTAGCCGAGTTACTGCTGGTATGACGACAGTAATGGCTACCAACAGCAAACCACGACCAACCAAATCCAACCGACACAGCGATCTTACCCTCTTCAGTGCCACTGTCAGCACTATGTGCTTATGATGACTAGTGCTGTTGTCATCTCAACCTCCTCACCTGGTCTGTAGCGCCCTCATAGGCATCCCCCAGAGCGTCGCCGACAAGTCCAGTGCCGTCCTTCACGTCCTTCGGAAAGTCTTTGGCTCCAGAAATATATAGTAAACTCCAGCGTAGACTCGTCGTAGTGTGGCGGGCAAAGCACTCTGCATCCCGCAAACCCGAGTAAAGCACAAAGCCAAACTCGCATCAGGTTTTAGCTGAATACACTTAAGCACTGTCCTTCTAATGATTTCGGGCAAAGTGCCCGATGACGGTAGCACAATGAGGGCAATCCCAAACTGCAAACTGCAATAATGATTCTGAATAAACCCTAAACTGACCGGCCGGTCCTCGAACCTGTCCTCAACCCAACCTTCCAAAAGATCCACTGTGATTCAGGGTTTCAGGCTGCGCCGCTTCAGGTGGGGCTGTTCAGGAGCAGTACAACGGCTTGAAGCTACAGCAGCCCAGGCCCTGTGGGCAAAGCTCAAGCTGCCGAGACAGAGGGCCGAAACGCAACCCAGATGTCTTCCCGTGGCAATCTCTCGGACATGAGGCCTTCCAAAGCCAACAAGCCAATCCCGCTCGGCCACTTCGAACTGTACTGTTGCGCAAAGTGAACACCAGCTACACGAATACACCCTGACCGTCTACACATCATAGCCAAACAACCGTTGTAATTCTGACGCTTGGTACATCAAGTTTCTGGGGTTGCAAGATCAAGCCTTTTTTGAAATGCCCGAGGGTGAATGCATGGATGTTCGATAAGACCTCTGAATCTTCGAAGTGTGCTCTACATTCCGGAGAGAAATTCAATTAGAGACCCAAAGACAGGGAGGCCGTGTGCAGTTTCAGGCGCGATGCATTCAAGCTGGGTCCAGGCGCTCTTTATGCCTGCAAACCATTTCTGAAAGTCGCCAAATTCAGAAGGGCTGTTGGCCATCTTTACGCGAAACAGGACATCGGAGCAGGATTTGATCAGGAAGCTGCACAACAACGCGCCCCACTTAGAACAGGTCTCGCAGCCAAGGCACCAACAACTTTGGAGGACACCGTGCTGTCCAAGGATGCCTGGTTAAACGGCTAGCAATGCAATACCGAAGCAGGAGAGAAATCGCAACCACGATATCGGAGTTGCTGCGAGAGCCAATGCCACGCCCGCTACTGTTAGCCGTTAGTGTCACTGCCGTCATCGTGCGATCTTCAACTCCATCTTGATCTGAGTTGACTTCGTCAGGACAGAAGGTAACGATAAGACAATGAAATAAAAAAACTATGATCTGTAGACAGCCGCAAGAACCAAAAGCGAAGTGGATTTGTGACCAGAGCACCCGGAGGAAGCACCGCGCCGTCACGATAACGAAAACAGCGAGTTCCGAACGTCTGAGAACCATGAGAGCCTGCGAGTGGACGAACTAGCTCAGGAGGAGTCACGACATCGCAGCGACGAGTAAGATGTACAAACTGGGGCAGGGAGCACTTCCGTGGAGGGGGTTGGTGCGAATATTGAGGCCCTTCCTATCTGGAACCCATGAGACCCGGAACCAGCGTCGTCAGTGCAAGATCGAGCACGAAGTCACCGCCTGCTGTATGACTGTGGAATCGATTTACAGTTTTCTGAAGCAGTGACGCTACGTGTTACGCTCAAAGAGAACATGACGGGGCGGGCCCGGGGCGCCCCCCGTGTGAGGTTAACGCGTAGTTTGCGCTCATGTCCGATTATTGACTAAAGATCCGGCCACCAGAAAGCCAGATCCAATGTAAATTCCCATGCGCGTTGGCCTCGTTTTGAGCTCGAAATATGAGGATGCCGGTGGGAGGCATTATGGTCCCCTTTCTGAATCCCGTCATGACAGGAAGAGGTGGGAGAAACATTTCTGTTCCTGTGAATCTTTTCCTCGTGCTCTCGTGTGTGGAAGGTCTAGGGAGTGGAAGGGCGGGGTATTTTTAAGTATGGGTATATTTCTAGAAGAGTACTTATACTACCTCTGTGGCTCTGGAGGCTTGGCCGCCAACCACTTATCTAGAAAACTTCACCATAATTAAATCTGGATTAAAAGAGGAACGGCGAATCAATTAACAAGCAGAAGACTACCACTGCTTATCGATCCATCTCTCTGCATCTTCCCTTCAATGGAGGCTCGCACTTTTCAGAAAACACTTACGTCTGCTCCACATAGCCAAGATTGTGCGACGAATAACCCTGATCTCACGGAAAGTCCAACGATCTCTATGAGTAAAGTAAGCATTGCCGCATCTTCCACCCGTCCAGATTGGTGTTGGGGTATCTGGGCCCATGGACGGCCAGCATCATGAGCATCAGTTGGAGTTTTTGGCGGGCCCCGGTCGGCACTCACGAAGTTGCGACTTCATACCGAATACCGTCTCTTCTGCATGATTGTCACCACCGACCCCTAAGG